TTTAAACCCATTACCCCTTGTCCTGTCACTCCCTGCCCTTGTAAAAAGTCCCCCCTCAGCTTTCTTGTCAGCCCCTTCAGGTACTGGAAGGCTGCAATAAGGTCTCCCCAGAGCCTTCTCCTCTCCAGGCTGAACAAGCCCAACTGTCCCAGCCTGTCCGCATAACAGAGGGGCTTCAGCCCTCGGAGCATCTTCCTGGCCTCCTCTGCACTCACTCCAACTGGTCAATATCCTTCTTATGCTGGGGGCCCCAGAGCCAGCAGGCCCCAGAACTGCAGGAGGGGTCTCACCAGAGCGGAGCAAGTTTACTTATAAATAGAGTTTATTTATGATGGCCTGGCAACTTGAGCTGCAACTAGGAAGCACAATATCCCACTGCAAAGTAAGCCCATGAACTCATCCTGAAGCACACTGTGATCATAGAATCACAGACTGGTTTGGGTTGGAAGGGACTTTAAAGCCCATCCGGTTCCAACCCCCTGCCATGGGCAGGGACATCCTCCACTAGACCGTGAGAAAGGCCTTCTCCACTGGTAAGGTTCAGTAAAGCTGTCACCACAGAAAGGGCTCCTGGGCACCCCAAATTGTCACCTTGTGAGTGCCAGTTTCACACCCTGCCTCTGTGCATGCGAAGCTGCAGCTGAGCTCAGCAAAGCTCAGAGGAGCACAATGTGCCACATTCAAGCCAAACTCATAGTCTTAACTAGGACACTGATGAGCTCTGCGCCCAAGAAACTCACTCCCGTTGAAAGCAACGAGTCCCAAGCTCTCCATCCATCTGGATAGGACCCACACGTTATTAAGTCAACATGGGTTTTAAATACCAGATTTGGAGTTTAGGCTGCAACAAAGGAAATCAGGACATTCTAAATTTTACAGGCAGAGACGATGCCTCCAGAGCAGCCTGGCAAGGGGACACACCACAATGGAAATGTGAAAACATGTATGGGGACCAGGATTTAAGCCCCATGTGTCCCTCAAACCACAGCTCTGTTCACGCACAGGAGTAATGCAATGGAAAAAAAAGACTTTCCAAAGCACCTTCAGCTAGAACTGCCCTTCTGGTAAAGGGGGCATAGTAAAGAGCTATCAATTCCAACACGTGAAGGGCTGACAAGAAAGGTGGAGGGTGACTTTTTACAAGGGCAGGGAATGACAGGACAAGGGGTAATGGGTTTAAATTGAAAGTGGAGAGGTTGAGATTGGACATCAGGAAGAAATTCTTCCTGGAGAGGGTGGGGAGGCACTGGAACAGGTTGCCCAAAGAAGCTGTGGTTGCCCCATCCCTGGAAGTGTTCAAGGCCAGGCTGGATGAGGCTTGGAGCAACCTGGTCTAGTGGAAGGTGTCCCTGCCCATGGCAGGGGGTGGGACTGGATGAGCTTTAAGGTCCCTTCCAACCCAGACCATTCTGTGATTCACTTCTTTGAAGGGACTGACAGAATCAACGTCAGCAGCTCTCAGGCTACAGCATAAACACCCACGTCCGCATTTGATAGCAAAATTAATCAGCAGAGGCTACACAAAAGTCACTGTCTTCCATGTGTAAAGATCTATACATTTCCCCAAAATTACATTGCTCTCACCGAACAGAAACCAACTCTACTTTTACTCCAGCCAACTAACAAATAACACCCAAACCATTTCAGGTACAAACCAGACAGAGGAGTTTGAACACCTGGGAAATTCATTAACATTTAAGCAGCAGGAGGCTCGGGGAATTTAGTTGTCAACATGAGATTAGAAGAAGTTTTCAAGAGATGAAACTCAACCCATCTGAAGTGAAGGTGAATGTCTTAAAGGTATTTTTTGCTCAACAGGAATTAGAGGACAGATGCAACCATTCTCATTCAGGCAGGTGTATTGAGACAGAAGGCTCTGCTGGGCTTGGCTAAACAAAAATCTCTCACGTCTCAAAGCATCTGCCACGTTGGCCAACCTTCAGCAAATGCAGGCATCTTCAAATCAGTGGCAGGCTGCCTGCTGATTTTACCCAAACCTTTCACTTCCGCAGCTCTCCTTCAAAACCCAGATCAAACTAGCATTTCAGGTTGTATTTCTTTTACTCTCCTACAAATATCAGGTGATTTCTTTGTTCTCTGCAACTGCTCAGACTAGAGATTTAAAAACCCCACTCCCTTGAGTAAGCCAACGCTCCTTTGAGTAAGTCGACACCAAAATCCTGCAGCTCTTCAGGATTAATACTCATAATAAGCAAGTTCTAACCAAGATCCAGCATACTTTTAACACGGGAGTTCATGAGTTTCTGGATTGCAGAATCAAAAATCCACATCTGTAAAACAATCCAAAGTTGCTGAAGGTATTGCATAATAATATTAATAAACACCGTAATATTTTGTAGAAAATTAACCTAGATCTTGCTAATTTAAGGAGAGGCAGCCTCTCTCCTGAAGCCCAGGAAGTTGAAGATACCTCGGCTTGACTTCAGCTATCCTGTGTCCAGATAGCATTGCAATGCAGACTCTACAAAAAGCTGATTTATTGGGAAGAGGAACTCAAAAAAATAGGTCAGATATAAAAAGAAACCAGCATATATTAGGGGATGAAGGTTTTTTTTTTTTCTTATATCACTTCAAAAGATTCATATGATAGAGGGTTTTAAAATATCTTGATCTTAAAAATCAGGATTTCATGTGCAGTTCACAACTCCTATCTCTATTTCCATCTGTTACAGTGCCTGTAGCAGGAGAAAATTCCTTCAGTTCACAAGAAATGTGCAAGAATTTGCAGTAACGGATTATTCTTAACAGCAAGTAGACAATGCCTGACCCAAACACTAGAACAGGGTAAGTGACCATGCGGTTACGTATGGCAGGCCTGGCAGGGGATGGCCTGTTAGTCATGCTTAACCCAAATTAGTTGCTGTTTAAAACAAAGAACAAGCAAAAAACCTCTCCACACTGAAGGAAGTGCCAATGCCAGATTTAAATGGCCAGCTTGTAATTAGTACTAAAATTTGTCTTTTTCAAGTCAGGCTGGGAAGTGACAGTGCAAGTCCCAGTATTCAGCGATACTGTTCTCATAATTTAAGGGGTAGAAAATAAAAAGAAGCACAAAACATTAAGCAGGATGGATTAAATGTGGCAAGATTAATCATTAGAAAAAAAGAGATTTACAGCTAGCACCTTATGTACCCTAAAATGGCCAAGAGAGTTGTGCAGGAAACAAACACACACCATTTTCTACAACCTAAACCATAACAAAGCATGAGTTGCTTAACTAAGGTTATGGCAAGCAACATTCAGACAGGAGGTTTATAAGAAGAGACAAAATATTGTACTTTTATCTCCTGGTAAAATAGATCGGTAAAATCGGTCCTTCCTTTTCTTTTCTTCTGGGTTGGGAGGCAAAGGTTTTGAGCCATGGTTTAAAGTCCCAGCATCTTTGCTTCCCGATCCAATCATAGTGCTGGTATTTCTCATCGGAGGAGCAGGCGGTTTGTCTTCGGTTTCAACTCCATTGTTGGACATCTTCAGTCGGGGAGGCCGTTACTAGGAAGAGGAAAAAAAAAAAAGAAATAAGCAGCCTTATTTATTTATTTCTTGTAAACTAGAATCACACACTGTCAAATAATCCACAGGCAGGTATTTGCAGACTAACCTGGAACCTCCTATCAACACAGACCAAGCATCAGTGTGCCAAATGCTACTCAAGCTCCACATTTTTTTTGTTAATAAGACGATGTTCAGGAGTTGGAGTTACCAATAATCAAGAAAAGACTATTTCAGGACACAGCCAATTGTCAAGCAAACCATGGAACAGAAGTGTGGGGTGGGAAGTAAGTACAGTAAATACCAGGTAGCAAAGACACCTGGGAGGAGCCAACAAGTTGCCAAGCTCATAAGACGTCTCAGATCCAAGCTACTGCCACTAAAACTACATCAAAAGGTTTGTATCCACCTCCAGCACCGCAGGATGTGGAAAGTCTGAAGTGTGCACACAAAGAGTTTGATGCAGCGGCTCAGGCTCCTTTGGCAAAAGCTGCTGAACTGGTTCAGAGGCAGAGATGGCCGGGAAGGCGCAGAGCTGTACCCACGTCATCTCAGCCGCGGCCCTCGCCAGTCTCAAGCCGGTCTTGGCCTTTCCGCCGTAGCAGCACGCTTCAGGCACAGTTCATACCCCCGGAAAGTTGATGGCGTTTTGTTCTGTTGGAAGTGTCAAACAAAACCAGATCCCCAACACACACATAAATCCTTAAGTAAATAATCCCTGCTGCGCGGATTTAAAGACGGAAGCTTTGGAACGGGGTAATAGATTATTCTGCAACAACCAGTTTGTTCCACCCAAATGAGATCAGCATTACCCCAGACACAGCCTGGCTGCAACGAGATCCTTCTGGAAACTGGAATTCACCTGCATTATGTTCTCAAAAGGAACTTGGGAGTTAACTGAGGAACAAAGACCAAAGCAGGAACAGTTTCTGTTTGGATGGAAAAAGCAGTTCAACAGCTTTAAGAATTTCACAAGCAGGAAGGGAAGATGCTTCACTCAGGGGGAATTATTGAGTCACAGAAAGTCAAAAACGGTTTGTTCTCCACAAGCGAGAAGTCCAGTTTCAAATCCAGGATAGCAGACAGCTTCCAAAGACCTGCTTTTACAGGGAGCTTCTAGGGAAGGGTGTCCATGCCTATGACAGGGGGTTTGGAATTAGATGATCTTTAAGGTCCCTTCCAACCCAAACCATTCTATGATCCTATGATTTTCCATAGGCTGGCCTCAGAGGAACCACACTGGGTCACACACCAAACAGATCCCACAACCACACGACAGTCCTACGAGCACACGACTGCAGCCTTCAAGGTCATCTTCGGCCAAGCTACTGATGCTCAGTGTTGACTGGAAAGGTTTGGACCCAGGGCACAATGCTTTTAGCTGCCGGGAGTTAAGGCAGGCAGATGCTGCCCGCAGAAGGCCCTCAGCTACAACGTCAGACTTCGCTGGAAGCAGCAGCTCACTAGCTGTCGCCTACCAAGCCGTGGGCCGGTCTGTGGCTCCATCTTCTCCTCCGCTCACTCAGTTCCCGGTTTCTTCACACTTGCTCTTAGAAGAGGAGGGCTGGCCATGCTGTGCAGCCCGTAAGGGTTTGGGCAACCCTCCACACACAGGGAGCTTCGTAAGAGGTTTGAGCCCAGCCCCAACCCAACTGCGCAATGGAATTTTAAACGACAGACTAGCATTTGGGGTGCTGATTTTAACAGTGGGACAGTTCTGGTGTTTGGGAGGGGTGGAGGGGGAAATTAGCTGTGCATTTGTCTGGGTGTGTTCTGGCATGTGCCCTGTGCATCTCCCACTGCTCATGCTTCAGCCTCATGCCATTCTCCAGAATAAAACTGGGCAGAACCAAGTGACAGCTGGAGTGCCAGCCACAAAGTCGTGAGAATTCTCCCTGCCTAAGAAGCGGAAAAACACCATAAAAGTAAAACCCCACTGGTACATTTGGCAGTCACTGCTGCACACGTATCTTGTGCAACATGAAGATAGCAAGGCCTCTCCGACGGGCTTTGCACATCGCAGTGTCAGTGGTGTTGGTACTGAACTCCAGCACTGAAGTGCTACCTAAGAGCCACGTTCTTCGCATCAATGCTTATTTAACCATGAGAAAGCAAATTGCTGGGAGGGTGCTAGGAATATACTGCAAATAAGGAAACAGAAGGAAAACAAATGTTAGCAGCTCTATGCCTGCCAAATGGCCCTCCCTGGGAGCAGGCATCGCGTCTGCTGCTGCAACACCCTGGTTTACCCCACGGGGGTTTGAATAAAGGTGCATTTATTTCCAGTCAGACTTCCTGGAGCTGCAGGCATAGCTGAGATGGCAGGGGAGACTTGCCTGGTGGCTGGGTCCCTCTCCCCTTGAGTGGCCAGGTGAGTATTGGTGCTTGGTACCTGCTGTCAGTGGCACAGGACCAAGCAGAGGACAAAGTTTATTGTACTGGGGAACAGATGCAGCATCAGACCTAAGGACAGTAGATGGAAGAGAACAGAGCAGTGTCTGGCTCAGGGCTGGAGAAAAAGAAGTGAGAAGAGGAAGAAACAGCCCCCCAGATTACAGGGAGAGGCTGGCCTAGTGCTGGGGGAAGGAAAAATAACATAAAACAGACAAAAAAAAAAAAAAAAAAAAAAAAAAAAAAAAAAAAAACCCCAACCAAAACAGACCATGAAAACAAGAAAAACCTCTGGATGTCAAATATCCTCACTCTCAGTTTCACCAGTGCAAACCCCCAGGCACATCTGCTCACAGTTCCTTCAGTATAAGAGGGTTTTTCAAAATCCCTCAGTCAGAAAGGACGGAGCACAAGTGAATTACTGTTCTACCGCAGGGCTAGAAACACTGGCAGCACAAGCTCTTGTTTATCTTGCATTATTCCCTGAATGAGCAGGTAACTGCTCAAAGTTAGGTAGTTTAAAAAACAATATTGTTTTACACCCATTTGATAACAGTAAGTTTCCTGTGGGCAAAGCCTACAGTATGCCCTCTCCTTTCTGCTCCATCGCTCAAGCCCCCAGACCTTCCTCCTCAAAGTCTTACTTCTGGAATTTCAAGAGCTATTTAATCTGTTTGGAGCTGGGTGGTGAGAGAAATCCTCCAACCCACAAACTTAAGAGCCTGGTTCTACAGAAGTTATCCCCTGTCATAGCAGTACTATCTTAGAGGGTTCCCAAAGGCCTTTTCCCACTACATATTTAAAGGGAAAACGAAAAACCTGCTTACACGAGTAGTCCCACTGTGATACACAGACACAGTTTGTCCTCAAACTCAGCATCATCATCCTTTAACCTTCTGTTGGCTTCAAAGTATGCAGACAAAACCCTGTCCTGGCAGAACTGCATCCACCTCTCCAGGGCTTTACAGTGTGGCTGAGAGCCCGGAGCCATACCGAGTGGCTACGGAGGTGGCCCTGTAGCCTAGCTGACTCTGCAAATTCTCTCCTTCCTAAAATAATCTCCTGCCAATTCACACATAAGCAGGCTTTAAACAAGCCCCCCTTGTAGGCCCTGCTCAAATTCAGAGCACCAAGCAGTTTGCTTCGCTGGGCAGCGTAACATCAGCGCTACGACACTGAAGTGAGTCACTGCTCGGCACAACCCACCCTAACGGGAATGCGAAGCGTCACCGGAGCGAGCTGCCGTCCTCCTTCACACCAGCACGGCTGTGCTTTGAGGAATTCATCTTGTTTCCATGGTGTGATTAAATGAACAGTGGAAGCAATGAAACAGCACATGAACTTTTCAACCGGAGTCAGATGAGGGAATACATTGGAGCTGCAGACACAATTATTCTCCACCACTACATGTATTAGAACACCAGCACTCAAAGCGAACCCCACAGGCATCACTAGGAAGGCACAGTCATGATGTAGGACTATCATTTCTGCAGCCACTTGGGAGTATTGAAAGTTCGCGTTGTTTCAGCACACAGTACTTATGAAAATAAATTTTTATTACATCCTGCAACTGATGAGTGCTGTAAGTCGGGTCATGGCAGCCTTAAATTGCTCCCTGCCCCTCCCCACCAACTTGTGAAGCCCATCAGCTAAATTAGATTACCCCAGCCCCAACAGAGCAGAACAGCAGACCTGAGAATCCCTCCTTTCACACCTACAAAATGCTTCTGCAGACAGGAAGGAGTGACAGACAGCCACATGCAAGGGGCAAGATACTCAGGAAACCACTTGGCAGTTCGACCCAGCAAGCGGAGGAAAAGTGGCACCCAAGGGTGCTAACAGCAGCGTCCAAGAGTTCAGAGTACACAGATGTGCAAACACCGGCGCAGGTCTGCTGTGTTAAGTAGATATGACTCAAAATCACGTTGATGCCTGTAGCCTCCCTCTAATACAAGCACAGGCTCCTGAGCTGTTTGCTCATCTCAGAGAGCGGGACCCCAGCATATGTGGAGCCTTCTGGCACTACTGTGTGTAACAAACACACACACACGAAAGAAAAAAAGGGGAAGGAAAAATGGAAAGAGAACAAAGATCTTGTGTTTATGTCATTTTTCCTTCTGGTAAGCCTTTCGAACCTGATGCTCCATGCTGAACTCTGAAGTTTCTATCAAGCTGGTTGTGTTTTCTTTGCATTCCGTAGCCAGACAGGCAGATGACTGATTGCTAAAACACAAAGCAATTAAAAAAAGTCAGAGGAGCTGAAACCTACGCTATAGTAGATGCCATAAAGATAACTATGTCCAACGCATACTAATTGCTGGAGTCAACACGAAAACTCATAAAAGGGCCATCTATAATTCATGCAGTCTGACAAGACAGTAGCTCTAAGTTCCTCACTACAACTTACCGATGAATAAACTGTATTAAACGAGAGAGGGGGGAGGGAGATGCTCAGCTCCTGTTTTTCCCTCTCTGCCTACTACCAGAAGGGAATCTCCCATTTCTCCTAGATACTATTTTTCTGTTGTCGCCAGGTTGAGGAGAGGATGTCTTGCCCACAAAAAAGGCAGAGGTCTTGACCTTCGGTTGAGTTGATCCTGATCAGAACAAGCGTTTTACCTCTGCACCAGTACCCTGCACCTTTCCACCCCATGGCTAGAGATGGCTCGTGCACAGAGACAGTTAAAAATCTGCTGCTTCCTCCCTGCACTGCCGCGGTGGGAAGGTTCAAACACATTGCAAGCAGCAGATTCCCTCCCCGTGTGTCACGTTTTCATCCAAATCCTAATGGAATTAATGGCAGTTTACCAGCTGGGTTTTGACACAGGATGAAGAGATACTAATTCATTATTTGGGGTGGGTTTTTTATTACTTTACGTGGGAATAAGTCTCAAACACAGGCTCACGTTGAAGGAAAGGCACCCCACGTGTGTTCCACCTGAATAAGGGGCAAGAGGTGTCCTTTTCCTTACCCCGACAGTGGATAGGATCTGGGACACACGCTGTCACGGAAAAGGGCAGCAGCAGTACACATGCCCTGAGGGAGGACAGGCTGATCGTCACATTTAGAGGTGATTAAAAAAACCCAGTAACAGTAGCATCCAGCCGTCTCCTCAGCCAGTTACATCGAAATGCTGTGCAAGTGTGGCAATTAAACAAAAAAACCCAAAAAAAAGTCAAGGGCCATCAATGCATCAGCCCAGACCCAATATGTACATGTGAATTAAAAAAAAAGGTTTTAATGAAGTTCTAATAAATAAATTATGAACCAGCAGTGTTTGTTCATCTATCTTTAGAATCTACCTGTTAGACCCCTGCAGGTGCTGCTAACACCTAGAGATGCAGATGAAATCGCTAAATTAAATGAAACAATCATTAAATCACTAAAAATAAGTACCCGTTTACGAGAGAATGTATCCACTGCTAGAGCCAGGGGGAGTGGGTGAGAGGAGGGGGAAGGGAGGCACTCATGGCAGATGGCCAGCTAGGGGTTGCAGTTTTGCTCCACTCCCGGCGTTATTTCCACAGTGTCAGACATAAAGGATGATCGACCAGTTACAACTCAGGAATGCTGGAGGACTTGCTTGAAATTTTACAGCCAGAAGACTGGAGGGTGCTTTTAAAGAAAAAGCTTTTAATTCAACCTCCAACGGTTGGGGCTAAATGTAAGCAGCTCTGGGTGGGATTCCCGAGCCTGTATTTTCACAGAATCACAGAATGGTTTGGCTTGGGAAGGACCTTAAAGCCCATCCAGTTCCAACTCCCCTGCCATGGGCAGGGACACCTTCCACTAGACCAGGTTGCTCCAAGCCTCATCCAGCCTGGCCTTGGACACTTTCAGGGATGGGGCATCCACAGCTTCTCTGGGCAACCTGTTCCGGTACCTCACCACGTTCTCCATGAAGAATTTCTTCCTGATATCCAACTTAAATCCACCCTCTTTCAATTTAAACCCGTTACCCCTTGTCCTGTCACTCCCTGCCCTTGTAAAATGTCCCCCCCAGCTTCCTTGTAGCCCCCTTCAGGTACTGGAAGGTGCTATAAGGTCTACCCAGAGCCTTCTCTTCTCCAGGCTGAACAAACCCAACCCTCCCAGCCCATCCCCATAGCAGAGGTGTTCTAGCCCTCAGAGCATCTCCGTGGCGCCCTCTGGACTTGCTCCAACTGGTCAAAATCCTTCTTATATTGGGGGCCCCAGAGCTGGACACCTAACTCCAGGTGGGGTCTCATGAGAGCAAAGTAGAGAGGGAGAACCACTTCCCTTGACCCGTCCTTTGCAGGAGGACATGGACACCACCACAGTGGGTACTACTTCTGGGCAGGAAAGCTGCAAAATCTCTTCTTTGACTGACAGAGGTGCTAACCCACCATACCACACAGAAAGGCTTCTAAGAAGACCAGACTTCTTAGAACTGCTCGATTCCTTGCAACAGAGCAGAGTTCTCCTTTCACTCCACTTAAGGAAGCTTCTTTCTGTTCTGTTTTAAACAATCCAGGCCCAGCTTTCACCAGCCTCCACGGTGCGGGCCCATGCACAACCGCTGCGACAGTGACCCAGAGACAGAGGGTTTCATTAGCACTGAGGCAGGTCAAGCCCTTTCCACCAGATCAGGCTTGAACCCAAATCGGCAGAGAGGCTACGCCAGCCCAAATTGCTCCAACGTAGCTTCGGTTGCTTCATGCTCAACTGGCAGTGTCAAACAACAGCCATTGGGCAGTCCCTGCCAGTTATGCCCAAGTGCCTGGAGTACACGAGGAGCTCAACTTGTGCTCCAGTCAGGTACGTAAAGCTTTCAGAGCTGCTGAGACTAGCTCTAGCTGTTCCCATCCCTGGTCCTCAGCCCCCTTGTTCTGACCGAGCACTTACTCCAGTCGAAGAGCAGTTTTAAACGGCCCAAGAGAAATAAATTACATCCATCTTTAAAAAAAAAAATAAAATAAAAAATAGAAAAGCCAAGCTGAGCCAGAAGGAACAAGAGGTATCATTTTTAAAAGTTCGCAGCCCACAAATCATCCTCCTTATTTCCTCATCTCCAGACACGCTGTCTCCCCTCCCCCAGCTACATGCCTGAACAAGCAAGTTCGCTGGTGCAGATGTCAGGACAGGCTCCCTTCTCCAGCACGGTCCGGAGCAGCCTTGGCTCCGGTTCCACCTTTGCTCACAGGGAGGCAGGACTTCAACCGCACAACTCAAAGTACTGACTGGCGTCAGACCTTGCTAAGCAGGGTGGGAAAAATAAAGGTCTCATATGTTACAGCATACCCAAAGCTCATATAAGCAGGTTTCCTGGAGGAAATCTGTGTTCCAGAGGAAAGGACTAAATGCAGCACAAAGAAAATACATTAACACACGCATTTAAACACTCCCCCGCTGCTCTCCACCTCAGGTGCTTGGCTTGAAGTCCAAACTGCACGTTAGTAGCAGCAGCAACTGAAAGCAGCCGAATCGTTCATCATTTTTCCATTCAGAAGTTTCCAATCCAGATGAACGCAGAGCAGAGGGCTCAGAATTAAGCCTCACCATCCTCTAACATGGAATAATTCCTGGTAGGATGCATCCACTTTTAAACACATACTGATATTTGCAAAGACTGCACTTTGTTAAGTGCAGAGATCTGCCATGTGCCATTTAGCACAGGGGTAAGAAATGTCAGAAAACCAGAGCATCGTCGTGTCAGGTCAACATCCCACACGCGCAGAGGATACCTTAACGCAGCGGTTAGCAGCAAGTCATGGCACGTAAATAGCAGAAAGTTTGCATTAAGCTGTAAAAGGTTTCTGAGAGGAGACGTCAAAACAGAGTCCTGCAAAGAGCAAACCGATGTTCTCAGGAGGAAAATTCATCCAATTCCTTTCTTACTGGGAAACTAAAGAAGACAACACGAGCATCGTTAGTTGATGAAGCCATCCAAAAGTCTCAATTAGACTGTGGGGGAAATGCCACAACAGTTCAGCTCTAATTGGAAACGCAGACAGTTATCACCAGAGTAGCGCTCGCTCCTGTGTACAGCTCCATTGTGTTCACCGCAGCTGATGACAGTAGGAAGCCCTGTGCTCTGTAGTACTTATGTAAGGAGTAGCAAAGCTGTCACATCCCCTTAACTTCCAGCCAGGATTTTCTTACTGGCAGTACTTTTCAATTAATGGCAAAGATTGCTTCAGTTTCACATCGCTTCGTTAAAGTTTTGGTTCTTGTTCCAAGCTGAGGAAAGAGGAAGACTTAATAATTGTCCTGAGGCAGAACGAGCTCTGCATCCAACACGAGGTTTCTGTAGGCAAACTGAATTAAGAGACACAGAAAGCACGGACAAATACCCAGAACTGAAAAAGCCAATCTAGCATCAGTAAAGACAAACAGCTTGAGAACTGCACATAAATCTGCCTCAAGTTTGCAACGAATACTCCTTCAATTATGAAACATGTGATGCTCTACAAGCAGTTCATTTAAAAGGCAAAATGAAACAGCCTCAGGTAGCTTAGGGTTTCCACCTAATTGAGTTTTCGCAGTAGAGCCTTCTTTGCTGATAGAGCACCAGCTCTGTGGTTTCAGTTCTATGTCAACTAGCAAACACCCTATTCTACCTAGTTTATAATCCCTCTACGTACAGAAGCAAGCATAGCCAGCATCCTGTGGCAAGGTCTCGCATTCTTAGACTTCCTTACTTGTACCAAATGGACTGTAGAGCATTCATCAGTCCATTAAGAGCCATCATCGTTTAATTTAATGAGCAGCGGTTTGTTTTTAGGAGGTACCATCAGCCCTTTTATCACATCATTTACTCAGATCCCAGTCAAACTTACTGTATGTCAGTGGAGAAAAAGCTCTACAGGTCTGGTACCAAGGATCTGCCGTTTCTGCAATATATTATGACACAACCCTGCATTAGCACTCAGTTAAACAAAGCCCACGAGCCCAGTGAACTATTTTTACTCCACTGAATAAAAGGCAATACAAGAACATCACTTATTACAGTAGCAGGCCCATTTCAAGGCACTATGTAATTAGGAGTAGGAGTTAATAGCAGGACCAGAAATAGTAGGCAAGGTTTTCTTCAACATCTTTGTGCAAGTCTTTCTGGGGCATGGATCTTCTTATCCCGTGTTCTTGCTACGATTACCTAAGCAGCTTTAAGTAGGACACACGGAGCTTCTCTGCTACCTATTTAAACCTTGTTCTCTCTCGTGAAGCAGTGTCAGCTGCAGCCACAAAACCCAATCCAGCGGAGACAGAAGGAGCTCCTACACGCAGCCCTGTCAGCATCTGCAGCGAGTGACTGGCTTCTTCCAATCTAATTCCCAGTGGACAAGCATCGACATCATAAAATTAGCAACAATGCAAACTGCAAATTCAACAGAATTTGGATTTCAGTGATGGATGGATTGACAGCGTGCATGTTTTATTTATCCCAAGACTGCTTTGTCAGGTTGGCTGCATCTCCCCTCTGTACTTAAAATGCTAAAAATCATTTTTATAGTCACTAATTGGCAGCCAAGAGGCTCTATAGACAGTCTTGTACCTTTTCTAGCATTAGTCAAAACTCACCGGATTTCCAAACTGAAGATGCCCACCAATAAGTGACATTATAGGAAACCATCTGAGTCAAGGCATTTTGGTCAGTATGTATTCCCTCCCACTGCTCTAAGTCACCGTGCTGAGGTCCCACCAGGCTCCCCGTACCCACTAAGGTCATCAGCATGAGATTTTGCCTCTCTGGGAGCACACAGCATGCAGCAGATCAGGACGCAGTTTTCTGATCATCCTTCCTTAATTCCAATAATTCAGACTCAAGGAAATTCACTACCAGCACATGCTCATAGAGGTTCCTGCTATCTACCCATAACTCCAATGCTTCCTCAGTGTTCAGGCACTCAAACCAATTCTCCTTTCAGCATCCACCTCGGGCTACCTGCCCACACCCCCTCTCTCCTATTCTAAATACAAGGCAAATGAGTGTAAAATGAGGTGTTTTAAAATTCTGTAGCTGGCACGCTACAATTTCACCCCTCACTTTTGCAGGAAGAGCTCCACTCACTAGAAAACTCAGATCCAAACAGGGCAGTCAGTTTTGGACAGCCCACAAGGACCCTCAGCGTCGGTCCGGGTGCACACCTGGGAGGAACGCGTGGGCCTGCACTTCCCAAACCAATTTTGCCCCATCCACTTTCTGGCAGTTACACCCCGCCTCCCTCTTCACTGAAGCTCACAGTTGCACATGCACCCACTGCAGCACATCCTGCATTAAGTCCCCCTTTCCTCCTCTTGTACTCCTCGCAGAGGGATGCAGCGAAGTGAAATACGCTGGCTGCAGGAAAGGAGATCCTAAAACCAATCCAGAACAGAGCATGACCATTAGGCTTTTCCAGCCTGTAGAAGAGAAGACTCCGGGGAGACCTTATAGCACCTTCCAGTGCCTGAAGGGGCTACAAGGAAGCTGGGGGGGACTTTTTACAAGGGCCTGTAGTGACATGACAAGGGGGAACAGGTTTAAATTGAAAGTGGGCTTGGAACTAGATGATCTTTAAGGCTCCTTCCCACCCAAAACATTCTGTGATTGTATGGAAAACATCTAGTGTTATCTGAAAAGCTTAAATATTCTACTTTAACAAAAGCCTCAAAGTTTTATAACTCTTCGATGCTCTATTATTAGAAAACAGACATCCAAATTGGGGTCTGTCATTGTGCTATGTCGCTT